TCTGCTTCTCCCTCTGACCCTCCCCCCTCTCATGTGCTCTCTCTCTCTCTCTCTCATTCTCTCTCTCAAATAAATAAAATCTTAAAAAAAAAAAACAAAAAAAAAACTATGCATCATATTTAGTAATTACGGAATACTACACCTAGATAAAAATGATAGGTTAGCAAAAATGCCTCTGGTAGTTTCAGCTGTCAAATGTATGTCCAGTGTCAGAGATTGTATATGAGATGAAGAAGGTGTAAATAAAGGACTAGAGATTAAAAAGAGGGCAAGAATGAGGTGTCATAGAGCAGACCAGAAGGCCAGCACATGTGATCCCTCAGAACCTGCCCAGGGAGACGGCACCTGGCAGGGCTGTGGGCGGTTCACTGCTAACCTCTCTTGTCTTGAAATTCATGATGCTTCAGTACTCATAACAAGATTTATAAGCTAACTCTTGAGCCACTCTGCAAATGAATATAAAGAATGGCCTAAAGAAAGGAATATTTATCTTTTCTAGTAGTTTCTATCTAAAAGAAGTAAAAATATTTATAATCGAGCATACCTGAATAAAAAGATTGGAATTAACTAATGATGACATAACTAAATATTGACAAAATTTATCATGATGACCAACTTAAAACAGTTTTTCATGGGGAAGTAATCTGTTTCCAGCATTATTTATATGTTAACCTTAGTCAAAGTGAAATTGTGTGTACTAGGTAAGTGCTGTAGTCCAGTTTGGAAAAGGATTGTGGGAGCACCGAGGTGGCCCAGTCGGTTAAGCATCCCACTCTTGATCTCAGCTCAGTTCTTGATCACAGGGTGGTGAGTTCAAGCCCCCACACTGGGCGTGGAGCCTAGTAAATACATACATACATACATACATACATACATACATACAGTGAATTTGTAGTCAGAAGACTAATTAAAAATATCTTTGCTACTTACTAACACCTGTCCTTGGCAAGTTAGCCAACCATTCTGCCCCCTGGTGAACTCATCAGTCAGTGGAAAAAATAATACCTACCCAATATACCAGTCGGGGTTGTTCTGAATATTAGATCAGATCATGGATATGAAAGTACTTTAAAAATTCTAAAATACATTATTACTAATATATAATATTATTGAATACTTATTGCATGCCAGTCATTGTTTTGTTCAAATATTGTAATTTTCTCTTCCCAGGGCAGTACGTCAGTATTCCCTGCAGCTTCCTCCAGAGAGAAAACTCCACTCTGAGTAAGATCTTTTTGACCTCTTCATTTTGCTTAGTGGAAATCAAGAATTAAGAATCACACAAACTATTATTAAATAAATCTGGACTGAATACTGATTTCTCTTACAACTAGCTTTGGAGTTCAATCATATAATATACCCTAAATTGGAGAATGATCAGAATTTTCTGAAGTAGTCATCAATCACTTCATCTTTATGTCCAGGGGAAATTTGTCCCTAAGTTAATAATGCCTGCTGGTTGTTTTTTTATATAATTAGTACCCATAAAAATAAATAAGAATAACAAGAGTTTTAGAGAAATGCAGACTTTGGATAGCTCAGGATACCCTTCCAGGAGTTTCTAACCACCAGGTCTTTACAGATAGCATACTTCTATGTTTTAATGTCGTTTTAGTTAAGGTACACTTTTTCAGGGAATATCATCTATTTTATAGAGTTTCATTTATTCTCAAACTTGCTGCTTAAATATTAGAGCCTGACAATCAGTTTGAAAGTGTAACTTTTTATATAACATTTTAATCTTCTATTATCTGATTTTCTTAATTCTTCCCCTTACATTTACTTATTGAGTAATTGTGTGGTTGCTTGCTACTTACATTTCTATCAATTCACTGATTTCAGCTAATTAAAATCAAATTTATAATAATGTTCCATTTTCTTGTACTAGTTATTAAAATATAAGATAAAGAAATGTGCCCACATAATTAAAAATTATCACTGTATTTATATACATAAATTTCTCTACTATCATATTTTTTTTCCTCTCCATACATTTTGAGAAAAAAAGAATAATTTTTTCCGCTCAATAAATTTCCCAACCTTCAAACAAGATGCTCTTCTAGGAGCAGAAGAGGATTTCATACTTGAAGTTCTTGCTTCTCTGGATGAGTTTCGTCTTTCCCCTCCTCTAAGTGCCATGCACAGGGCTCACACCTCTGCTGCTTGACATGGTCAGGAGTCAGGACCTGTAAAATGCTTGTCAAGAACACACACCCCCAGTGGTTCACATTTGGTTGCCCTTTTGTCCTTGGTTGCTCTGTTTTGTTTTTTGTTTGTTTTGTGTGTGGGGGTTTTTTTTATTGGTTTTTTGTTTGTTTGCTGTTTTAATTCCTGCTTGTCTGTTAGTACTGAATGGATGCTATACACATCTATGAAATTTTACTTGATTAGGGAACATTTTCTCATCTTTCTTTGCATAATTTAAGAATGTAGACATAAGGGTTTTTTTTATAACATTCCTCTTGAATGTGAGACAGCAGTATATTTGTCCTCGTAGTGGTAGATACTTCTAATTAGGTACTCGTGTTTCCTATAGTTTTCAGTGTAAGTAGGAAATAATTTTTATGCTGTGTACTGCTTTGTTTTCACAGTGAAGAAGAACTGTTATATCTGAGCTTCATTGAAGATGTAACAGATGAAATTTTGAAACTTGGTTTATTTTCAAACAGGTTAGATTTTTTAAATTATATTATGGTGGTTGAATAGTACATTAAATATTCTTCCTTATCATGTTGATTCCTTTAAGTTATTTCTACATATTAGGAAATGAAAAATTATATTGCTTTCTTGGGGAGGACATATTTATTTATTTTTTTTTTTTTTTTTTAAAGATTTTTATTTATTTATTTGAGAGAGAGAATGAGAGAGAGCACATGAGAAGGGGGAGGGTCAGAGGGAGAAGCAGACTCCCTGCCGAGCAGGGAGCCCGATGCGGGACTCGATCCCGGAACTCCAGGATCATGACCTGAGCCGAAGGCAGTCGCTTAACCAACTGAGCCACCCAGGCGCCCCATGGGAGGACGTATTTAAAAAAAAAAGATTTATTGGGGCACCTGGGTGGTTCAATCGGTTGAGTGTCTGCCTTTGGCTCAGGTCATGATCCCAGGGTACTGGATCGAGCCCCACATTGGGCTCCCTGCTCAGTGGAGAGCCTGCTTCTCCCTCTCCCTCTGCCTGCCACTCCCCCTGCTTGTGCACTCTCTCTGTCAAATAAATAAATAAAATATTTTTTAAAAATAAAAGAAGATTTATTTATTTGAGAGAGAGAGCATGCAAGTGGGGGGAGGGGCAGAAGGAGAGGGAGACAAACTTCTCACTGAGCATGGAGCCCAATGCGGGGCTCAATCTCACGACCCTGAGATTGTGATCTGAGCCAAAACCAAAAGTCGGATGCTTAACTGAATGAGTCACCCAGGCGCCCCTTAGGGGGACATATTCTTATAATTGATAGCAAATTATAAAGAATGTTTAATTCTTACCGTATAAGGCAAGTTCACAGTTTGGGGGAGTTACAGAAAAGAACAGATTTTATTCATTTAAATACTGTTATTTCTCTTAGATGCAGAGAACAGATTGGTGGTTGCCAGTGGTGGGGGTAGGCGAAATGGGCAAAGGTAGTCAAAGGGTAAAACTCTCAGTTATAAAATAAATAAGTCATGGGGATGTAACGTATAGAATGGCGACTGTAGTTCATAGTACTCTGTTGCGTATTTGAAAGTACTTTGTGAGAGAGTAGATCTTTTTTTTAAAAAAAAAAGATTTTATTTATTTATTTGACAGAGACACAGCGAGAGAGGGAACACAAGCAGGGGGAGTGGGAGAGGGAGAAGCAGGCTTCCCCCCAAGCAGGGAGCCCGATGTGGGGCTCGATCCCAGGACCCTGGGATCATGACCTGAGCTGAAGGCAGACGCTTAACGACTGAGCCACCGAGGCGCCCCTGTGAGAGAGTAGATCTTAAAAGTGCTCATCTCAAGAAAAAATTCTGTAACTGTGTGGTGATGGATGTTAACTAGACTTATTTGGTGATTATTTTACAGTATAAACAAATATTGAATCATGTTGTATACCTTACACTAATATAAGGTTAGTGTACACCTCAATTTAAAAAATCCATCACGGGGCGCCTCGGTGACACAGACAGTTGGGTGTCTGACTCTTGGTTTCAGTTCAGGTTGTGATAGCAGGGTCGTGGAATCAAGCCCCGTATCAGGCTCCCCACTCGTCATGGAGTCTGCTTGAGATTCTCTCTCTGCCCCTCCAGCTCATGCTCTCTCTCTCTCTAAAAATTAAATAAATAAATCTTTAAAAATCTATCACAAAAAAAAGAAAAGAAGAAAATGAGGGTTGCCTGGGTGACTCAGTCAGTTAAGCATCTGCCTTTGGCTCAGGTTATGATCCCAGGGTCCTGGGATCCAGCCCCACGTCGGGCTCCCTGCTCAGTGGGGAGTCTGCTTCTCCCTCTCCCTCCCTGCTCCCCCTGCTTGTGCTCTCTCTCTCTCTCTGGCAAATAAAGAAATAAAATCTTCAAAAAAAAAAAAAAGAAGAAAATGATACCCATATTTGAAAGAAAGATGTAAAACTGTCTTTATTCACAGACATTACATCCATGTAAAAATCCCACAGAGTCTACAAAAAAAAAAAAAATTATAACTATGCAAAAACAAACACTATATCTCTTAGTTGTAATAGACTGGTGAACCAAATTTTTGCTTATTTGCAAAGATCCATCATCTCATTTTACTATTTGAAACTTGTCATGAGAATCAAAAGCAAGCATTTTGTAAAGTGAGAACAAATTAAAAACTAGGTTTATACACTGTAAGTGAAATGGGAAGTTTGCAAAACCAGATTAGATATTGCATATCTTAAGGAAACTATGTGGTTCTGAATCAGCTTGAACATTATTTATCTAAAGTTCACTGGGCACAAAGGCTCACTTAACATTATGTATCATAGAACTCCATTATTTATACTACATGCTTTCCCTGTTGAAATATGTCAAGTACAACATTTCTAATGAATTATTTCTATTCTTATGTGAAGTTTTTTTTAATTAAACATTTGTATTATTGCTATAAAAAGATACACTAAAAGACCTAAGTTTCGGGGCACCTGGGTGGCTCAGTCAGTTGAGCGACTGCCTTCGGCTCAGGTTATGATCCCAGGGTCCTGGGATCGAGTTCCACATCGGGCTCCCTGCTCTGCGGGGAGCCTGCTTCTCCTTCTCCCCCTCCCCCTGCTGGTGTTCCCTC